TCATGTCTGACACCATAAGAACCAACCTTTTGATGACTTCTTCATATTTATTGATATGATTTGGTATGTCTTCAAAGAGCGACGATATATTGGCCGCAAAACGCATCGTCCGTTTGGGAAAGGGATCTAAAAGTGGTTTTATATGAAGTAGAGATCGAAATGAATGCAAATGTAATGAATTCATTGGATATATAATGACATGAAATGAACAAACATTTCATTCATTTGCAGATAACATACACTCACAGACACATCACATCCCTTACCACCAATCGGTTCCCTTTATCTCATAACCTCTGCGTTAGTCACACAATGACACGGAGGTAATCGTTGCCATCACTGTCTGCCAACACATTAATCATCTAATGGTAGACGAAGTGTCACTTCAATTGAACCCAAAGTTTATTCAGCGAAACATTTGTCGTAATTGTTGTGAAGAGATGTCAATAAACAGTGCATTGAATCTCAACAACATTTGAACGATTGAGTGATAACTTAAGAACTCTGCAGACAATGACAGCCGAGTGTAGAGTGAAGGGCCTGAAGAGGTTGGTGTGCATTGAATACCCGGGTGTTGTGGACAGTGTGCCGGCAATGATGTCCACATTGAGTGGCATTTCTGGAGTTGAGAGCACTTTGAATAATCCCAACGAAAGACTGGAACTCCGGTTCAGACCCGAAGACAAGTACTCTCACCCGACATATGGCGATAGAGTGGCCACTAATAGTCTGTTCGTTAAGTTCATCCGAAGAACCAGATGTGATGGAAGTGTTGAATTCGAGGCCAAACTGATCGGAATCATTGAAACCACGTATAGATTCAAATCGTTGGCGGACTTCCAATACCTGCCGATGACTAAAATGAGTGAAGAAAGTGATGACAGTTTGCGGTACTTCTCGATCATCGATCGACTCATACCTCGGGATCCGTTTAACATAGAGAAGACAGACCTCACTCGACGCAAGTTCGACGCAAAGACACCACTGTTTGTGTTGCCGACACTCTTCTCGCGGTTCGACTCTTCGATGGAATACTTCTTCAGAAATGACACAAAACACAGAGATATTAATCTTCGCAAAGAACTCGAGAGACAAGAAATGCTGTCAATTATCGGCAGAACTCGAAAGTCTCGCAGCGTTTTGGCCACTCTTCTCAATTGGTCGGATCCCATACCTCTTGAGCCGACGCCACAAGTGATGCAGACATTGAATGACATCTCTTCGACGGATCCATTGTTCCAACGATTGGTCCAATGCTTCGAAGAGCGTCCCATTTGGTCGCGAAACTCATTGGTCGGGCGTTTGTGCTGTGAAAGGGTTGACATTAAACTACTGCTCCCGAAGATTGCCTATTACTTCACGAACGGACCCTTTCGTTGTCTTTGGATTAAGTTTGGTTTCGATCCCAAGACTCGCAAAGACTCGAAGATCTATCAGACGCTGGACTTTCGCGTGAAACAGGTTTACGCGAAGAACTTGAGTTCGGCTAAGATTAGAGCCAAACGCAGTATATATCAGTACCAGTTGCCGCTCAAGAAGAAGGATTCCGACAAACTTAAGTCCAAACAGTCGACCATTTCCTCCGATTCATTCATTGCCACCACTTCTAAGGACAGACCCGAACACAGTCTCGACGAAAGCCAACTAAAGGCCGACAAACTGTTGGCCAGTTATGCCTTCATTCCCGGACTTATGCCCGCATATCGACAGCTGTTTTATCAGTTGTGTGACATTCAGGTGCCGGAAGTGCAACAACTCATCCATTCTAACGATACCAACGAACCGGACATTTGTGATGAGAGGGACGGCTGGTGTACGCGCGGGGCTATCGATAAGATACGACTCATTATGTCGTCTATTATCGACACAATGCTCACCAATTCATCACTTTTGGATCAGATGGCCACCGATGACAGTGTAGTCGACGATAATGAGGAGGTGGACAACGATAACACCGATGACTTCCAAAACGACGAATTCCTGGAATATTTTGGAGAATAATATCAGAATATTCTTGAATTGAAGTGAAGAATACAGTATTAGTCAGACTTTGAATACTGGTTTTAATTGTATTAATACTGAATTACCACTCATATACAGTAAGTATACAGTGTATTACCCCACAATTAATGTAAAATATTATTATTATTAAAACTTTGTAATAATTTGTTTGTACAGTATATGAAATGATAACTTTTGTAATGATTAAAAACCTGGTTATGAATACAGTGTTTGTGTAAAGCATTGAGTATTTCGTCAAATGTTTACTTTTTGGCAAAAGTGAGTGAAAAAGCAAAACAAAACACAAAACATATGAACCAATGAACACAACATTGTTTCACAATTAGTTAGTTTTCATTCAATTGTTTGTCAACTCAACACATGTGGAGGACAGTGGTGTCCCACTGAAGACATGCAGACATTTTCTGATATCATGTCCTTTGGCTGTCCATCAGATTCTGTTCCGTATATAAACTCTTCGTTCAATCAAAACAACCCACAAATGAGACAATCATTGGCTGACAATAAATCAGTCAATAATATAGCGATGATTACACCGGAGATGTCTTCATCCCAATGGATACTAAACCCATTCTGCTCTTCGGCACCACTCATGACCACAACCATCGCGACCAATACTCCAGACATGACATCACTCTTGACGTCAAATTTTATTCTCCCAAACAATACCACAAATGCTATGTCTTGGAGACCATCACTGGATTCTGTCTTGGGATCAGTTGCGGTGAATAACTCAAACGCCAACAAAGATGTCTTACGATTCAAGACATGCAGTCTCTTTGCGCCCAAAACGACGGCTCCGAAGATGTCGACCAGAGAGCGACCCCTCGGCTGTCGGACTGTCTTTGTGGGCGGTTTGCCTGAAAACATAGCCGAAGATATTCTTCACGAAGTGTTTTCACTGACTTGTGGTGACATAAGTGCGGTCCGCATGAGTAAGAAGAAGAAGAACTTCTGTCACATTCGCTTCCAAAACGAGTCGTCCGTCGAGACAGCCATCGGTCTGTCCGGACATCGGCTTAAGATCAATGACTCGGATGACTCGCCAAACACGGGTCGACTCCATATAGACTACGCTCAGGCCAGGGATGACCAGTACGACTGGGAGTGCAGACAACGTGCACTTCAGAGGCAAATGAGACATAAGGAAAGGCATGAGTTTGACCGGACGTGTCCTCCCAGTCCACCGACTGTTCACTTCAGCGACGACGAGGCCATCCAATTGGCGGACAAATTGAAAGGCGAACTAAGTTTCTTAAAAGGAGTACAGGTTTTGGTGAATTGGTTGGAGAGAGGGGAGTGTCAGAAGAGGAATTCCGGTCAGTTCTATACAATGATTCAAAGCACTAATAATCACATCAAGAGATTGCAAAACGAGAGGACACTCTTCGAAAACGAATGGATCAATTCACGACAGATATATCACTCGAAAATTGAGGCCATTTTAGTTCAGTGTATGTCTCGCAAAGTTTGCAATCATTTCATTTCATTCATTCATTTGTATATCAATTGCTTGAATAGTGACTCAAATCGAGAAAGTATTTGAAGCGGCGATGAGACAGAAGGCTTGGGACCACTTCACTAAAGCCCAGCGAAAACACATCGACGTGTGGTTCAAGCAAATCAAGGTCTGTATGCTTTGCTCGCAATGTGTCATCACTTCTAACCACACGAGTATTGCATTGAAAAGGAGCTGAAGAGCGCACACATCGATCACGTACTGAACCAACGAGAAGAGGATGAAATGGATTTGAGTGATGGCGACGACGATCACAATCCTCTCATTTACGGCAACAACACATCCATTGCTGAGCCCAACAACTCTGTGATGAGCTTACGAGACGAAAACGACGCACTCCTGTGTCAGGTCGAGTCCTTCAGAAATGAAGCCGTCTTTGTGGAGGAGGAGAGCCGACAGGAAAGGGAACGACTCGAGAAACAGGTCTCTCTCTTACAGCAGGCCTTACAGGGAATGCAACACCAGTTGATTGCATTGACTCGAAATAAACCCGAAGATTGCTTACCATCTAATGATTGTAACGCTTGCAGTGATAATAGAGAAATGTCTTCGAATAACAATACGTTTGGTGCCATTAGTTCTGAAAAGACGGCTCTTCTTATAAGTTTGATATCTATTTATTTGAATGTTCATCCGTACGGCACCACCAGTGAGGATATTAGTTCTTATTTGTCACAACAAAGTCACATCCGAGAGACACAACTTCTTTCCACTGCTTTCATTCACTCATTCCTATCACAATATCCACAACTCTTCACGCAATTAGAATCCGATTCTAATGGAAGAACCCTTTGGAGGTTTTCAGGGTTCCGCACGTGAAACCCACCTCTCATTTGTATATTTTCACAAATTATCAAATTGTCAATCACCACTATTTATTATATCTCACCACTATCAATTCAAATAAGCCTATAAGACTACTTATTACCGTAATATGTTTTCACATTTTATAAGTCTAAAGAAGTTCCATCAAAAAGTGACTTATTTATATTTCAAGTTTTACTCTAATTGTTATGTTTTTAGTCAGATTATGTAATTTTATTGCTTGATCATTTTGGTTTGTTATAACTTTAATCATTGTTACTGAATTGTCGTATTATTAAAACATAATCTTTCAATATCATAGTTCTATGATATACTGTATGTTTCTAGTCAATCAATAAAACTGTACTGAATACAATTGTGTTAATAATTATTTATTTGTAGGAACATATTATATAAGGTACAAGATACTTTAATTTAAATTTTCTCATAAGGTTTAGCATATTGTTTAAGATAATGTTAGTCACTTTAATGTATTTGTGTGAATAATAAAATTGAATTTGATATATCTATTTTAATGTTCATTGGGTTGAGGTATAAAACTGTAAGAATGG